GTATGACTCCGCCCCCTGTGAGCAAAAGGTGTGAATCAGGACCCCAATGATACCAACACAAAGAGGGAAAGAGGGACTAAAACAAGGGGATGTTGAATCCCCGCATGCATTCACTACATACACATAACATGACACGGGTCAGGTGATGGGGCACATGACCCTCTATGAAAAATGGAGCTAATCAAGCCTATTGTTAGGCGATTGCCCTCTTTTGCATGTGATTAACCTGTTTGTCCATGTGGAGGCAGTGCTCATAAGGAACTCATCAGACTGAAGAAGTCTCTTGGAGCGATGAAACGTTTCACTAAAGAAGAACCCATCCAGAGGACCTACTTATTTTTTCTTTTGATTTTTTCTACCTGGATTACTGAGATGCATCAGGACACATTGTCAACCTTAGTTGTTTTTATTTGTGCTATTTAAATGAGAAAAAAAATACACTTGACACTTTTGTGTACTACTTCTCATGTATATTTTTGGCTGTTGCGTTTTACAGCATTTGCTAAAGTAAATTAAACTTGGCCATCGATGCGCGCTCTTCTCCTRCAGCACTTGAAAGCAGCACTCCGACCTATTCTCCAGCCTCGGAGAGGCACTGCGCATGCGCAGAGCATCATCCAGCAGCTCGAACCGGAGGAGGATGATGCGCTGCGTGGTACTCGGAGAAATCTTTTTTTTTTCTTAAGTGTGTGGAAGTAAATGYCCGGGCTGAGTTTGGTGAGGACTCGGAGGCGCTGCAGGGACATCTGTCTGCTCCTCCTCCTCCTCCTCCTTATTAGGAGGAGACCGCGAGGAGGAGGGACCGGGGTGTGGATGCAGCAGCCTTATCGATAGCAAACTGGTTCCGATCCGGTTCAGACTAGTTCTGCTGTATGCGACTGTGGCTTTGAGAGGCTGCCAACAGAGACAAACTACTGCAGGGGACCGAACGAGAGCACTAATGTGGATTTGCACCTTCATCGTTATACTTTACGACACATTTGCCGCTTTGCGTCACCTTTGATGTGCCGTTACTGTAAAATACGCAGCTTATTGCATAAATAAAGCTGCGGAGGCACATTTGTTGGATTGGGCTTTTAATCAGGGCAGGGTGTGATGGAGGACAAAGGAGGAGGGTGAGGGGTACACTCAGCTGGGACCAGCTGCAGACAGGTACTGGTCCGGGTTCAGATGGGTTCTAATAATCCCCACACACAGAGTGATGTTTGACAGAAACAGCGGCGGCGTGGAGGGATCACTGCAGTGCAGCAGAGCTGTCAGTCACACACAAACAGCCCCTTTGTGACTCGTTACCTCCCCTCAGAGTCACATTTCAGTCTAATTAATGGAAACAATGAACCCATTAAATGTTTTTATTTAGGACTAATTATTGTTGCTTCTGCGTCAGACTGTTAGCAAAATATCCCATGARCCAATGAATGGGTTTGATATCTTCAGAAAGYAATCATTAGATGTGAATAAAMAGCTGATTAACTTTTGGAGTCAACCTGATTCAAGATGGCCGCCACAGCTCATCAAACTTAGCAAACACATAAGCWGCAGTCAGTTTTATAGATAATGAGATGTGGTTTGGTGTGTGGTAGTAGCTGAGAGTCATCCCCACACATTGTGAGCACTAACTAATCAGAACATCTTTGCATGAACCATTCAGATCGACTGTTAGCAAAATATCTCACGAACCAGTGGACGGGATTTGATGACATCAGAAAGTAATCATTGGATATGAATAATCAGCTGATTAAMCTTTGGGGTAAACCTGATTCAAGATGGCTACCACAGCTCATCAAACTTAGCAAACACATAAGGAGGTATATCAGTCAGTCAGTTTTACAGATATTGGGCTGTAGTTTGGTGTGGTAGTAGCTGACAGTCATCCACAATAGGAGTACTAAATCAATTAACCAATTAATGGAAAGCGCTCCAAACTTGACCAAAACTGAGGATGACTGATATGAAAAGGTGGTGGGTGATGTGCATTCCTTCAGCTTTGCTTTTAGCTCCGTCTAGATTTTATGGGGACTTTTGTTTGAAAATAAAAGATGAGCTTCAATCAAATTTTAGGATGTCCTCCAGCCGCCTAATCTGAATATCTGCTGCACATCAAACCAGTTAAAGAGAAATCCAGCTCAGAACACCCCTCCTCACGCATCCACTGTCTACACACACACACACACACACACGCGCGCGCGCGCG